TATTTCATTCTTTTTTATTAGCAAAAAATCCGTTTTTAAAATATGTCGAGGAAGTGGTCTCAAATTTACTGGTCTATATTGCTTGTGATACCACCGTGAATCTGTCTCGATACACCCCAAATTTTCATCACATACTTTAAATATATCTGAAATAGTACATTGGATCATGTTTTTTATTTTTTAGTTTTACTGTAGATTTACCTACACTATCGCTATTCTTTTCCGTATCAAGAAGAAACTGATTTATTGGATATACAATTTCTTCTGTCGATGCTTGAGATTTGGTGTGAATTATTATGGTTATAAATATACATAACGCTTCGTTTACCTTAATCATTTTTTCATTTTGAAGAACTTATGTTTGATGATTGAAGTGTCAAAATTTACTAATTATTTAAATTATCATTTAAAAAGTCAAAGTGACAGTCTCATAATATATAGACATGTCAAGTATGATGTCACCCCAAATGTTAATTTAATTGTTAACAAATATTGTTTTGATTATTCTAAAACATGAAGTGACTTTTAAAATACTAAATTTTATTAACTAGTTTTATACAAAAGTATGAACTGCTCCAACTTATAATCGAAGGCAAAGTCAATAGCAAAAGAAGACCAGGAAGAAGACGCAACTCTTGGCTCAAAAACCTACGGCAATGGAAGAACATGACCTCCATAGAACTATTCAGGGCTGCTATAAATAAGATTAAATGGGCAAATGTAATGGCCAACGTCCTTAAGGATAAGGCATCGTAAAAAGAAGATCGGTTCAAAGCTGAGGCCGTAACGTTTAGAATATTTCCCTCTACACACTACTTCCTGTTTGTGAACTTTCGAGTTTCGTTTTGGTTTCTTAATTTTTCTATGTCTTTTAATTATTTTTTCCCAAATTGCCTATTTTTTCTCCATATAATATATTTTTTCTTCGTTCTGTTACTTCGTGGCACTCCTTGTTAAGTTATTGATTTTTTTAACTGGTTTGGTTTTCTTCAATATTCCAGATTTCTTTCTTTATTTATATGTGTCTACATTTTGTTCACAATTCCTTTTCATTTTCCTTTGCCTCTAGGCTGTCCATTCCCTCATCCAGTTGTTTCCTATACTTTCTCGCTACAGTTTCAATGGGCAGTTTATCCAAAATAATTCTGTCTTGATTTACATGTTTATCCCTCTTTAAGTTTGATAGTTTTCCTCTGATTTTTGTCATTACAAGAAAATGGTCACTATCTGTGTTTAAGCTACGGTAGCTTTTGGCGTGATTTGCCTAATTCTCAGTTTTATATTGGGTATCTCGTGTATAATTTATACATAACATACCGTAGGATTATGGTTCTGTAACAGTAACAACTTTACTGCTGCGATCGGTATCGTTTCTTAACGTGAATGGAATTCACTCACATCTGAAAATTCGATTCTCTTTTTTATACTTTAATATCTTCACCATTACCTGATTATTTGTGATTCTTTAATTTGTTTTATTTTGATTCCATTTGATGATTTTTTGATTTCAGTTTTTTCGATTTCTGGATTTTTGGTCTAAATTGACATTATAGTTTATTCGTCTTCTGGGTTTGGACCGTGTCATTTTGTGAGTGACCCAAAAGTGGGTTAATCTCGACGTTTCGCTACAATTGTATGTAGCTTCTTCAGAACAAAGAAAAAGAAATCAAAAAGGGCAGGAAGATGGGTAGTTAGCAACGGTAACTCAGTTACTCAACGCAACCAGAGGCGAATACTAACTACCAAGATGGGCATTTAGTCACAGTAACTCAACTACTTAACGCAGCCAGAGGTGAAAACCAAATGCCAGGACAGGGATTCACGTCCAACAGCTCAGAACACTAACGCGTCGAGAGGCGGGAGTGAATCCGACGATTACTCCGCTACCGCTCTATTTATAGTCGCGGTGACCTGTCGTGTCGGGACACTCCGTGGCGCGAACGTCAAGAAGCGCGCGCTGGCCAATCATGTGGCTGCATCGTGGTAGCGGGACCGGCCGGCGGCTCTAGACTGAGATTCCAGATGGGAGACAAGTAGTATCCTTCCTCTCGATTGATATTATGTGGATTTTTTCGGATCTCTAGAGATTCGCGGATTTTCCTGGAATAAAAGAAGGGGCTCTTAGAAATAATATGGGTTTTTTCGAACAATATGGAATGACCGGTTTCCTGGCAGTGTTCTGCAACTGCAGAATGGGAGAAAAGACCTGATCGAATGCATCTTTGATGCTCTTGAATCCGAGTTTTGACGGAACGACCAGTTTCGCTAATATACACATGTCCACATGAACAAGGAATATAATAGATACCACAGAAAGATAGGGGCGGTAATGGGTCCTTAGGAGAGGGTAGATATTGTGAGATTTTCTTGGGTGGTCAACAAGTAGTCCTGATACCTTCTTTGCGAAGAATTTTGCCAATCCTATCAGTGACACTTCGAATATACGGAAGAAAAGCCACAGGAGTATTACCCGAAGATTCTGAATTTGTCGTCCTAGGGTGTAAAGGGGATGTAGATGTCGGTGTGTAATATTTTGAATTGTGGACTTGGAGTAACCGTTGGCGACAAGGGTTTTTTGCAGATGGCCAAGTTCATTGGCCAGCGCGCGCTTCTTGACGTTCGCGCCACGGAGTGTGCCGATACGTCCCGACACGACAGGTCACCGTGACTATAAATAGAGCGGTAGCTGAGTAATCGTCGGATTCACTCCCCGCCTCTCGACGCGTTAGTGTTATGAGCTGTTGGACGTGAATCCCTGTCCTGGCATTTGGTTTTCACCTCTGGCTGCGTTAAGTAGTTGAGTTACTGTGACCAAATGCCCATCTGGTAGTTAGTATTCGCCTCTGGTTGCGTTGAGTAACTGAGTTACCGTTGCTAACTACCCATCTTCCTGCCTTTTTGATTTCTTTTTCTTTGTTCTCCTGAAGAAGCTACATACAATTGTAGCGAAACGTCGAGATGAACCCACTTTTGGGTCACTCACAAATGACACGGTCCAAACCCGGAAGACGAATAAACTATATTTCTGACTCTGGCCGTGGAAGCCTACGATTTCATTTAAATTGACATTTTTTATATATTTATTTTAAATATGTGACTTCATTAAGCCACCTTTTAACTAAAAGGAAAGAGAAATAAAGAGAAGATGCATCCTTGGGAGCATATATTTACCAAGAAGGCCAAGATAAGTTTTGTTGAGAAATTTTTATTCAGGTTATTGTGCACTCTCTACAATATTCATCAATATCAGGGTGATAAATGGGATAAATTTAACAATTTATCCTTATCGAAATGTTGATTTTTCGTGTTAATATATTGGACGCGAATATACCAGAAAAAAATAAAATGGACGGAGAGAAAACAAAATAATGTACAACAACAACAACACATAAAAGCGGATAGTTCGTAGCTCAATAACAACGTGGACAAGCGCAGAACAGTGTTGGCCTCAGGTAAAATGATTTTGATATATAATAATTTTGATCTTCTTTTTTAGACATCCTAAAAAAATTATAAAAAACTCAAAAACAGCTTCGGCAAACAAAATAAGTTATAAAAATTACTAACAAAAAACGCAACAGAAAAGAATAATCAAAACCATATAAAATTCAGGGCTCAAATCCTTGAGCTCCAAGTAAGTACCCAAGTAAGCAATTTTAGTTTCACAGATAAGTCACATGAGACTTAAGTGCCTCACGCTAGCTTGAATTTTAGTCAGGTATGGGAACCGTGTTGAAGTTCTATTACACAGGACTCCCACATGAAGAGCATTTGGTTGATAATTGTGCCCCTATTGCGCATTAAAGCGCTATAGGAAGGAAAGGGATGATCTGGAGCATTGTAGCTTGGTGGAGTGATTCCTGTTTAACTTGTCAATACACCTCGTTCCAATGAATTGTGACCCCGAATTAATTCCGTCTCTGTGAATATTGGGTAAGTTTGGGACTCTAAATGAGCAAATAAAACAGTATCGTTAATCTAGGATCATATATTATTCTTCAACAATAATGTGGTTTTAGTTTATTACCTATAATTTACAAATTTGTGTCTCTGTATCCTAAATATTATATATGTACAATATTTACAAGAAAATTGTTTAAAATATTTTCATAAATCTACGTATCATAATTATTTCTTTAAAATTTATTCGCTATTTAAAACCATTTTAAAATCTTATTTTTTAATTGTACTCACTAGATAAGTGTCGATTTTATTAAGTTCGATAAGCTTATTTTTGACTTCATTTAATTAGGGAGAAAATATTTTAAACATGCCGCTTTCTTTAAACATCACATTTCATATGTTTTCCATCTTATAGTCTACAGGATGATTCGAAATTGTGTTGGTAAAAAGGAGCTTACAAAAATATTGAAAGTCTATTCTTAAAAAAAAACCTTTTTTTATTTATTAAAAAAGCCTGAGTTCAAGTCTACAAAAATTAAAACCTAGTTGGTAAAATAAAGAGAAAAAAGTATTATTATTTTAATATTTTTCCCTCTTACGTTTCCGCTCTAGAATGTGCACCTATATTATTTATTACAATTTATTACATGTTTATCTTTTACCCCTTTCGGGAATTTTTAAAATTCTTGCAGTGTTTTTTGAATGAATAGCTCTATAAAGTTTTTGGTGCATCCATTATGTTTTACTTTTATGTACCTACTTTTGTGCCTTTTGTACAACAAAGTCTTAAGTAATGATATGAATGCCATGAATCCATTAAAACTAAAGGGTCGTCTAAGAAGGTATCGTCCACATATTACTTTATGAGGGTTACAGATAAATATTTGTTTTACTTTAAAAATCTGAAAGAAAACTTCAATACATACAGTGGAAAACATCCTTTTAACCTCTCACTACTCATAGCAAAATCAGAAAATCCTCATAGTTTGGGATAAACTGATTATGCTAGCTGTTAAAGAGATGTTAAACATTCTTCTACACTAGCCTGAATACGGAACACTTATAATATTTTTTTAGCAACAACTTTCATATTTACTTATCCGCTTACAAACCATTTCTTAATTTAGTTGGAACAGTCAAAATTAAAAGTGTTACCTCAGTAGCTTACCTCATATGCACCGAGTAAGTATTTAACCACACTGCTTTTTCAACATTAGTTAAAATTTTACCTTAACATTTGCTTTAAATTAAGTGGAAATACTTATTTCAGGTACCAAAACACTGATGATGACTTTATAGTCCGAAAACGTTCTGTGATGTAGCCCAAAAGGGCCTTTTAATTATATACCTTTTATAAAAGATTTTTTAATGAAATCTTTGTAATTGATCATACCCAGCTAACTACAGGAATTTCATTTTCGTTGTGGATTTTACATTAGTAT